TTACTATATCTTCTATACGATTATTCATTTTCATGTTTACGAAGTATCGAATAAAAATTGGAAAAGCAACAAACGTCTAATTGAAACCTACTTAGATAACAAAAGTAAAACGATTTAAATAAACAAAAGAAAATAATAAAAGTAAACAAATTTGTCTTTTGTTTAACCGTTATTTAAACAAAAGACAAGACTACTTAAATATAAATTTAATCTTAATATTTTCGATCACGTTTCTAATTTGATGGATTGCAATCAGTGTTAAAACTGATTGAACAAGATTGTCCACTAAATAATCAGAAAAAGGGTATAAGTATATTAAGGGTATAAAGTGGAAGGAGGGTTACGCAAGGATCTCTTTGTGGAGAAAGCGGTGACACGGAAGGACCTACCGAAACTAATCAAGTAAATTGGGTCCTTTCGTGTTCGGCCCTTCAATCACGTTATTGCAACAACAACAAAACGACCCATAAAAGAAAAGCAAGATAAACTTTCAATCGAAATTACGCAACACTCTTAAGATGGAAGAAATAAATAAAAATACTTTACTTTTTGTGCATTTAATTGCACAACTCTCGCAATGTATTGGTATTCGTTCGTGTGCATGTGTTTTTGCTTTGATTACAAATTCAATTGCCGCATTGTTGTTCGGTTTCTTCTCTTCCAATAATGGTCATCACACTGGTTCAATGCCAGTTGCGCAATTGAACAAATCCGGAAATTGTAAACTTTCCAAATGTTTCGGTCCGATTTTAAAACAAAGTTTAAATTGATTGCAAATTCTTAAAAGGGTTTTTTCCCTTTTATTTTATTTTCTCTTTTTTATTATTATTATTGGGTAGAAAAAGAGATATGTGCGCGCGACACGAAGAGCGTACGCGTGGACAACGCGAGCTGCGGATCCAGATGCAAAACGGAAGATGTTGTGGCTGGTGGTGGTGGTGATCATGATGTCGTTGGGAGTACTCTCCTCCGAGGTCCGCTCGAATCTGACCGTCGATGGAAAGCTGCTGGAGGTCTTCGCGAAACGGTACCCGCTGGAGGAGTGGACGCGGCACGGCTTCTTTCACAAGGATTACCTGAGGAGGATAAACGCGCATTGGCTGGGATTCGAACCGCAGCCGGCGAGGTATCATTACGCCCTCTCCGTTCTGTACGGCTTCATCATGGTCGGCGGGGTGACCGGTAACGCTCTCGTGATCGTAATGTTCATCAGGTGAGAAGAGAAGGAGAGAAGAGAAGAAAACGAACGGGAAAAACGCGTGAAACCCGTTCTTTACATCGTTTCGAATTGCAACTTGTGTATCGAGTTGCTGCAGAAATAATATTATAACAACGAATATTAATTGAATGCAATAAATTAAAATTACAATGATTTCATTTGTTTCTGTTGCTAATGAGTTACCATGAATTAGTTACCTTGACAATAAACAATATTCTTTGTTTTTCCTGTAATATTTGATGATCTAATTGAATTTGTTGCAGATGCAAAAGGTTGAGGACTCCGGCGTTAACGCTGATCGTGAATCTGGCGTTCAGCGATATCATGATGATGACGAAGTTGCCGATTTTCATTTACAACAGCATCTACATGGGTCCGGCTCTCGGTGAATATGGTATGGATTATTGTTGTTGTTGATGATGATGCTGTAATAGATCTTTTCTTTTAGCGTGTCGTTTGTACGGATTCATCGGCGCATTGAGCGGAACTTGCTCGATAAGCACTTTGGCTGCGATTTCGGTGGACCGCTTCTTCGTGGTGCGGTATCCTCTCAATCAGAGATTCACCGGGACCAGAGCACGCGTCTGCGTGGTAATAACCTGGGTGTACTCCGTCACCTTCTCGATAATCCCACTGCTGGACGTGGGTCTCGGCGTTTACACACCGGAAGGTTTTCTGACGAGCTGCAGCTACGATTATCTGACGGACAACGAGGCCGCCAAGAACTTCATCTTGGTCTTCTTCGTGGCCGCTTGGGTTGTACCCTTCATCCTCATCGTCTGCACGTACGCGAGCAACGTGAGCGTCGTGATGAAATCGAAGAGGATGATCAGGCAGAGAGGTTCGGCGCGACACATCCGCGTCGAAGAGAAGAGGAGTCAGGAGATGCGGTTGACGATGATCGTTTTCCTGGTGATCGTGATGTGGTTCGTCGCGTGGACGCCGTACGCCGTCGTCTCTTTGATTGGAATCGCGGGAAGAGCTGATCTCATCACGCCGCTTACCTCGATGATTCCTGCACTCTTCTGCAAAACCGTCAGCTGCATCGATCCGTACGTCTATGCCCTCACCCATCCCAAATTCAAGGCGGAACTGCGAGCGCTCTTCTGCAGGAGGCGACCTTCCGCAGAAAAGTCCAACGTCTCGTCGTTTCAAGCGACGAGCAGAGGCAACAAGCGCAGAGAGTTCGCGCGTGACGATGGAACGGAGATGGTGCAACTGGAATGCATACGACTTCCCATCATCCAGAAGCAGGACAACAAACCACCACCTCGACTCAACGTCGATGAGATGAAGAAGGGAAGTTCCGCGTACTCAACTCGATGGTGGTACAAGCCGAGCTTCAGCAATAGAACGTCCAGCATCAGGGGCATCGCCAGAAGCTTCACCAGCAGGACGCAATCATTCGAAGTAGATTAAACTTTCGCTCGAAAAAAAAACATAGAAACAACAACGTACATCTTTACATATCGATTGTATAATAAGATGAATAATAAGCCTTTAACTACATTTGGTAATCAGATAGTTGAAGAGATGTTACGAAAAGAAAAGCAATGATTCTAAAGAATCAAATTGGAAGAATCATATAAGAATGCGTATGGTTGGATGTGATCTCTTCTAGAATTGTTTAGTTTTAAATAACTTAGAATTAAATATTTTTAAAATTAAAGATAACTCGTACACATAACAAAATAATTGTTAGCTTTCAATTGATACTTACGTAATTACTCTGTTCCTATATAAATAATTAGGTAATTGAATTGTCCTCCCTGTATATATCATAAATTTGGTGTAATCAATGAAATGATAAATTACCGTGTTAATTTGGTTGCCTAGCATACACTTTTAAAACCATTTAAAATTTCTTTAATAATTTTAAAAAAAATCCTCCTATTAAGGATATAATTTATATTAGATATATTTCACTAATTTTCCTATATAATTGTATTTTAATATAATTGTAATAAAGTGAATTTTCATAAAACATTAAAAATCCATGTTAACAATAGTTGGGAAGGAAGAAGTGACGCCATCATTAAAACAATAAATTACAACAATTAGTTTGTAATGTCAAATATTGAGAGAAGCGTACATTATGGTAAAGTATTGTATGTATTTTGTGCTATAGCTTTAATAAATTGAAGAAATTAACGATTTTACGAAGATATTCAATTCGATTCTACAAGTTTTGCATCATCCGAATATCGAAATCAAAGTTGGCTTAAGTCGCTTGAAACTTCAAAACTGAAATAATTGCAAGTTGCGCGCGAATCAACGATGGTCGATTGCAATATCGATGTTGCGGTGAAAAAGTACGTCGAAGATCTGCAGGTGCCGTCGCACTATTTGCAGGCGACGGAGAAGATGGTGCGTGCTTTCATGACGCACGAGGCTTACGGCAATCCCGGGTAAGAAAAATAACGTTTAAAGTAAAAACGTTTAAAAGATTTGCTGTTGTAGATACAAATGGTCGTTGGATGATTTCGAGCTGGGATTGAAGCTGGGACAGGGAAAGTTCGGGCGAGTGTTCAGCGGCAGGGAGAAGCGCACCGGCTACGTGGTTGCAATTAAAACATTGATGAAAGTCGAATTGGTGCGTGAGGGTGCCGAGGCTTTGGTCATCAGAGAAGTCGAGATTCAGTCGCATCTGAAGCATCCGAACATCCTGCAACTGTTGACCTGGTTCCACGACGATTTCCGCGTCTACCTGGTGCTCGAGTACGCGGGGCAAGGGGAGCTGTACAAGAGCTTGAAGGAGAGTCCTGGCGGTTACTTCAGCGATCATCTGCAAGTATATCTCTGTTTTTACCATTTGAGTTTAATTGTCTCTTTGATTGTTGCAGAGCGGCGAAGTACATGTATCAGGTGACGGACGCTTTGAACTACTGCCACACGAACCACGTCCTTCACAGGGACATCAAACCGGAGAACATTATGCTGACCACCGATGGTAACATTAAGTTGGCGGATTTCGGATGGTCCGCGCATTCACCTTCGATGAAGAGGGACACGTTGTGCGGCACTCTGGACTACACTCCGCCGGAGATGCTCGAAGGACGGATGTACGGAATCGGCGTGGATCAGTGGTGTCTCGGTGAGGATTCACTTGTGTCTGATCAATCATGCTTTTTCATATGCATTAATTTCAGGTATTTTGTGTTACGAGTTCGTGACTGGATATCCACCCTTCGAGAGTAAAACTGCTGCCGAGACTCATCGCAAGATCAAAAAAGTGGCTCTGACTTTCGCACTGGACATTCACCCTGGAGCAAAGGATCTCATTAGCAAAGTAACTAAAAAAATACTTAAACTTTCAATGTGAATCTATTGTCGTGTCCCGGGATGTAATATCTCTGGACACTGTGGAATAATTTGTAGTTTTGTCTAAGGATTAGCTAATAAAGTAGTGTAATATTTTGTCGTGTCCCGGGATGGAATATCTCTGGACACTGTGGAATAATTTGTAGTATTGTCGATGTGGAGTTTTATGGAAGTGTATGTATTGTTGTGTCCCGGGATGGAATATCTCTGGACACTGTGGAATAATTTGTAGTATTGTCGATGTGGAGTCCTAGTGGGTTTTATGGAAGAGTCTAGATTA